TTGTGGGTCAAGTCCCGGACCCAGTAGCTTAAACTCATGCCAGGCACATGTGTGTGTGTGCCTAAGATCCCGAGAGGAGAAAGGAAGAGAAGGGATTGCAGTATGGCCATCCCCCTGGGGAGTGATTTCCCGCTTTCTGTCTCTCTGTCTCTCTCTCTGTGTCTGGCAAGCACACGCACCCTATAGCAAAAATCTCTCCAAAATCTCAAAAAAAAAAAAAAAAGAAAAAAGAAAAATTCAGTCAAGTGGGGCTGGCAGGTGGCGCGGTGGTTAAGCGTGTTATACTCCCATGTGGCGGATGGCAGTTCATGTCCCGGACCTGGCGGCTTGCTTTCTCACTTTCTCTTTCTTACTTTCACTCTGTCCCTCTCTGATCAAAATAAAAATAAAGTTAAAATAAAAAATAAAATTGTTAAAAAAAAATGGAGTCACAGGACCCGCAGGTGGTGTGGTGGTTAAAGAGCTAGAGTCCTATATGGCTGGCCATTGTTCAGTTCCCGTACCTGGTGGCTTGCTTTCTCACCTTTTCTCATTCTCTCATGCGTATATGCTCTGTAGCAAATTGAAAAATAATGATGATAAATAAAACTAAATAAATAATTCTTTTAAAAAAATTCAGTCAATCTGCTTGTGCTGTGAGGACATGGTTAGATACATTGGTTTATTTGGGGGGAGGGGGGTATTAGGTTTTTTGGGTTTTGGTTTTTTATTTTTAGTTTTTGCTAAAGGTTACATGCTCTCACCAGAGAGAGAGAGACAGAGAGAGAGAAAAGGAAAGTGAGAGATGATACCCATGCCACAATTCCTTCTCTATTTTCCTCTCAGAATTTTGGGCATACACGTGCCCTTCTTAAGCCACCAGACCTGGGACTTGAACTGCATAGCGGCCATGTGGGATCCAGTGCTTAACCTCCATGCCACTTGCTGGCCCTAGGTTTTGTTTTATTTAATTGCCAGAGAGCACGTGTACTCACTAGAGAAAGAAAAAGAGAACACTTGCCAGGAGGTGTGGTCATGCCACAGTCCTGTTTCTCTGTTGATCTTGTCAGGATTTGGGGCATGCACACACATGCACCCGGCCTGTTTCTCAGGCAGACAGCATCAGGGTCTGATGGTACACTACGTGGGAGTGTAGTGTTCTATTCTTTATATTTCTGTTTTAAATAATAATTGCTTGTTTGCATAGGATATTTCTGAAAGATATATTCAGAAATGGAGCAGTAGTTGCTTCTGGTGGGAGAAACTGAAGGACAAGGAGGGAACAGGGTTCCCCTTTTATCCCACCTTAATCCTTACTTTTTTAATTCAATTTTATTTATTATTACTGTTATTTTTAAAGAATTATTTTATTTAACTTTGTTTATTTCTTTTTTAAATTGATCAGAGAGGGACAGAGTAAGAGCGAGAGAGAGAAAGAGGGAAAGTGAGAAAGTAAGCCGCCAGGTCCGGGTCTCGAACCGCGGTTGTCCACATAGGAGTCCAGAGTCCTTAACCACCATGCCACCTGCCAGCTCCCATATTATTGTTATTTTTTAATTAGACCAAAGAGAGAAGTGAGAAAGCAAGCTGCCCAGTCTTAGACTTGAACCATGGTCAGTCATGTGGGAGGGAGTCCAATGCCTTAACCATCATGCCACCTGCTGGCCCATCTTAATCTCTTTTTCTTTAAATAATTTTTAAATGTAATTTTTATTTATTCATTCATTTATTTTAATTTGACCAGAGAGAGAGAGAGAGAGAGAAAGGAAAGTGAGAAAGCAAGCCACCAGATCTGAGACTCCATGTGGGAGTGTCCAGCACCTTAACCACCATGCCACGCTCCTGGCTAAACTTTAATCTGTAAAGAAAAACAAATTCAAGAACTAAAGCTTAGAAATGGAGTTCCTCAGATGTCATTGTGTGTCACATTAACACGGGCATCTCAATAAAATGCAGGTCCCTGGGCCCTGCTTCCAGAATTGTGATGAGATGATCTGAAGTGAGGCCCAGGAACCAGCAGTGCTGAGCAGGCAGGGTGCTTGAGATGCCAGTGGTTTTCAAATCGCTCGGGAAGCTGGAAAGGAAGAACTGGGGAGACATTTTTCCAGAGCCACTTGGTAGGCATGGCTGGTTCAGAAAGTGGAAGAGAGACTGCAGTGGCTAGTCCACAGAATGAACTGGAGATGGTGACACCCTTGGTTCCCGTTTGTCACATACTTGGTATGCGCCAGATTCTCCGCTAATGCTCACGGTTTACATCTATAGGAAAGCACAGAAACTGAGGCTGAGATGGAAGTTCCTCACCCACGGCCTTGCACGTCATAGCAGATGGGATCTGATCTAGCTGTCCAGCCCAGAGCCCCGGTTCTCCACAACTCTGTGCTACCTCCAAGCAATTGGATGGTGTTGCCCTGTTGGGGGTCATGCCAAGGGGCTCCTGGCTAAAGGTGAAGCTGTCAGTAATGGGGAGAAGCGAGGGACTCATGAAACCTAGCCACTGGCTCCCAAAACATAGTACACTGGGACAGTGTGCATGGTGGTTAAGGTGGAGAGTCATATTTAAACCCAGTTTCTTTTTTTTTTTTTTTTTTTTTTGGAGAGCTCTTTAGCTAGAGCACACATGTGCTCACCAGACAGAGAGAGACAGAAAGACAGAAAGCGAGAAATCACCCCTCAGGGGGGATGGCCACACCGCCATCCCTTCTCCTCCATTCTCCTCTCAGGATCTTGGGCATGCACGCACACGCGCCCTACGTGAGTTTAAGCCACCGGGTCCAGGACGCGAACTGCGGTCAACTACATGGGAGTCCAACAACATAGTCATTACACTAACTGCTGGTCTCTTTAAACCCACTTTGTGCCTCTTACTGACTCTGTGACCCTGGACAGGTTTCTTAACTTCTCTGTGCCTCAAGTTTCTTATCTTGGAATGTGATCTTCTGATCAGGAGTCGGGGTACTAGGAACAGAACCAACTCAAACTTGGTGAAGCAGAAGGGTCTGCCGGCTCGTATCTGACAAGACTCCAAGATCTAGGGACTTGGACACCCTCATCAAGAGTCTCCCTCTGTTCCCTTCTCCTTTTCTATGTTGCTGTCATTCTCAGGCAAAGCTGCCAACCCCCTCTACAACTCGGGACTGGGGTTCCCCCAGCTCAGCAACCCTACTGGAAATAGATCTTTTCTCCCAGTCATTCCAGAGTTGGTACTCCTTGGCTCTGATAGGCCCTGCTTAGGGCACAGGACAGTCTAGTGCTGGTCTTGATGTCTAGGGGGAGGGAAGTTTCTGACTGGCCAGGCCGAGGTCCCGTGCTCACACTTGGAGCCAGGAAACAGCCCCACCCAGAGCATGTAGACCTGCCTTCAGGAAGAGGGGCTGTAGAAGCCGGGCAGGCAGGAACAGCAAGTGTTCACAGCCTGGGGGTAATGACTGTACCGTCCTCCACCTCTCTAGACATTCCGGTTGTCATTGCTCCTCCCCTGGTGCCTGGTGAGACACTGGCACCTACCAGTCCAGAGACAGTTTAAGGGGTGGCTGAACGCTCCAACCAGAACTCTGCTGAGGGGCAAGATGTGTCAGGCCCAGGGGCCAGAGCACATCCTGAGGTCACCTTTTTTCTGTTCCTCCGTTCATGATAGAATGTGCATGCATTTGTGAGAGAGGGGAGTGGGGAGAGAACACCCTTCATGGGGTCTGGTCACATGACATTCTCCTTCCTCCAGTTCTCCAGCCCACTGGGTCTTGGGCACTCATGTTCATGCCCGGTGTGTTTCAAGCCAACCAGGCCGGGGATTCAAACCACAATTGCCCATTAGCATCTGGCTTCTCACAAACAGTGCATTACTGCTACACCCAGAGCTGTTCCCTCAGGTCACCTTTTTTTTTTTTTTTTTGAGAGGTTTTCACTATAGGGCGTGTGCACTCGCCAGATAGACAGAGAGAGACATAGAGACAGAAAGCGAGAAATCACCCCCCCGGGGGGATGGTCACACCTCAATCCCTTCTCCTCCATTCTCCTCTCGGGATCTTGGGCACGCACACACACATGCCCGGCATGAGTTTTAAGCCACCGGGTCCGGGACGCGAACCACAGTCAACTACGTGGGAGTCCAGTGACATAGCCATTATGCTAACTGCTGGTTCCCTCAGGTCACCTTTTGATGACTCCTTGGCAGCCATGTCCTGAGCCCATAGCCTCTTAAGCTACCAAGGCCACCAGGTCGTCTCCTGAGTGGCCATGAAAGGTCCCTGGGCTATAAGGGACTTTAGGGGAACCTCTAAAGATCGGCTCAGTAGGACATGAGAGCTTGCAGGCTGAGGGCTCCCTAGATCTCAGCTCTCACGGCCATCGGGAGGTAGTTTTCATGAGCACAGCTCCCTCCTCGTGCTCATAGCCCCCTCCTGTGCTGCACTGCAGCAGCGGTGGAGGATGCAGGCTCAGCCCTTGGGTCTCCCCGCCTCGAGCCAGGAGTGCTGCGTGCATGTGCCAGCCTGGTCTGGAGGGAGTCACAGGCCGCTCTGCATCTATTTCAAGGTTCTGAATTTCGTGGCTTTTTTTTTTTTTCCTAACCACCCTGCAAAGTAGGTCACCTGCTCCTCTTCCTGCTGCCTTTGAGATTCTTTGGAACAAGGCAGACACTGTCCTTTGATTCTGAGGGCTTCTGCCTTTCTGGCCCCAAGTACCACGAAGGGGGATCAAGCCAGTCCTTGGAGAGCCTGGCAGACCTGAGGCCTGGGTCAGGCAAAAGGAGAGTAAGGGAAACGCAGAGGGGAGTGGAGGGGAGGAGATGAGGTAGATGGGGCCTGGCGATCTGAGCCCCTGTGTTGGGGCTGTGTTAGACCCCATCCTGGTCTGAGCTGGTAAGTTTCAGGCCAGCTTAAAAGAGTCTAAAGGCCACTGAGGTTTGGGTTTCACCAGGAAAACCCAGTGCACTGGTAACGAGGTAGCAGCTTTCTCCCAGGCAGCAGGTGCAAGTGCTTGTAGGCTGAGACCTTTATGAGTAACAAAGCCTCTCTTCCCAGGGGGTGGCCAGAGACCTATGACATGAATACCTCGGAGTCCAAGACGGAGCCAGAAAGCATCACTCCTGGGGGCCGGCCCCCCTACCGCAGCAATGCTCCCTGGCAGTGGAGCGGGCCTGCGTCCCACAATTCTCTACCACCCTCCAAGTGGGCTGCTCCAACCACCCCCGGCCACGCCCAATCCCTGAGCCGGCCCCCGAAGCAGACCCCCATGGTCCCCTTCCGGGAGTCCCAGCCACTGCACAGCAAGAGGTAAGGACCCTTGGACAAACACCCCCACCCCCATCGACTGCCTGCCACACCTGTCTTTCACCTGCTCTCTCTCTTCCCCTCCATCTTCCTCCTCACCTTAGTCTCTTCACCTGCCTTCATACCCTGTCTCCCTCCTCCCCTCGCTCCCTCTTTAACCTAAACTTCCAGCATGGGCCTCTCACATGATGGTCCAGTGCTGGCCAGCCCAGGATCTGGGGTAGGAAAGCCATCATACCAGGTAGACGATTAAAACTCCTTTCGTTAAAGAGGTGAAGCCACTGCTAAGCATACAATTTAAGACAGCAGTTTCTTGGGGGAGGCAGGGACTTGGGAGGGGAGGAGTCATGGTAGATGTTATCGCTGGTGTTCTGTCCTTAGGCTGGGCAGGAGCTTCAGAGACTTTGTTTTATTATAGCAACGTGTGACTTAGAAATGCTCTTTTAAATGTATGATATGTTCAATGATGAAGAAATTTTTCAAAGAATAAAGGAATCTAACTTGCAGGGGAGCACCTCATCTCAGCAGAGGGACCAGACTGGTCTTGAGCAGTCCCTCTCCCCATCTCCCCCCACCCAACCTTGTCTCCGCCCCCCTCATCCCATCCCCTGTTATGGCTGCAGCAGCTGATGGGTGGGGCAGCAGCAATGGAACCAGGAAAAGGGGGCAAGTCCACTCCCCCGGGCTCAACCTCCATCTCCATCCCAAGGGGAGGGTAGCAGGTAGGACATGGCTAGGCCTGAGGGAAAGGTCTACTTACCAGTCCTCTTGAGGGCAACCTGCCCTCCCCCTCATCTCCTGCCTCTTCCCTCTCTCCTTTCTCATTCCAGGCCTGTCAGCTTCCCAGAAACCCCTTACACAGCATCACCAGCAGGGGCCGACAGAGTCCCTCCCTACCGGCAGCCTTCTGGGAGCTTCTCCACCCCCGGCTCAGCCACCTACGCAAGATACAAGCCATCCCCAGAAAGGTCAGAATCTCTTCATTCTTTGCAAGTTTAGGGATCTGGTGAAAGCCGTGAGTCCTTCTACTCCAAGAAATACACACCCCTCATAATTTTTTTTTTGCCATTTTATAGGGTTTCTGGATCCTGCAGATCATCAGAGACTCTCCAAGGGGTTGGCTATGTTTCTGTGTTTAGGGCTAGGCTGGGCTGGGACACACTCACTATTGGTTTTCCTTGCTACAGAATTTCGATTGCCTTTTATCTTCTTTTTTATTCTTTTGAGAGAGAGAAAGGTGCCCCGACTCGGTCTTGCCCCTCCGCAGTGGCTCACCCCTCCTAGCCTGTGTCAGCCGTGATTCTGGCACCCACACACATGTACGCAGCATGTTTCAGGTGGGCCTGCGACCTGCAGCCCAGTCTTCCATGTGGTTCCAGCATCACAGAGCGGTGCACCTCTCCCTAAGCCATTGTGGCTGGGCCCTTGGCCGTTTTATTTCTTTTTTATCTGAGCAAGACCACCCACCATCCAGCACTCCAGCATCACAGAGCGGTGCACGTCTCCCTATGCCATTGTGGCTGGGCCCTTGGCCGTTTTCTTATTTCTCATTTATCTGAGCAAGACCACCCACCATCCAGCACGGCATTTGTCTGACTCTCCCAGCCCGTCATTTTCCAGTTTCCATTATCTCTCAGGATTCAGTCCTGCCCACAGATCCATCACTCCCTGGTAGTCTAAGAGATCTTCCCAAATCTCCCATGGCTCTCAGTGTCCTCAGGATAAACCCAAACTACAGCCTGGCATTTAAGGCCCTTTCGGGTCTGGTTCAGCCGAGCTTATTCCCCAGCTGCCAGCTGCCTTCGGCCCTGGTGTCCATGTGGTTCCCATGTCAGGCCATATCCCTGGGCTGCCCCTGGATGGCTCCCTATCTCTTCACCCTGCTGTGGTCCGTCCATTCAGCATCCTGAGCATCTCTGTCACCCGTTCCCTCCTACTTTCCCACTGCCCTGCCCTGGCCACCTCCTGGGCTCCTGCCTCCATCTCATCTCCTCTGGTCTGCCCTTCATTCAGTAGCCAGAGAGGTGATTCTGGACCTGGCTGTCTGTCCCCTGCCACACCCTCCCACAACTCCCAGCATCCTCAGGACACAGCCTCAGCCTCTCGCTGTGCCTGCCTAGGCCCACTCACTCCTGCTCTCCCCGTTATGCAGTGCTACACTGGCTTCTTGCCTCTCCTCCATAGGCTTCTGCATGTCAGAGCCCTTGCCTGTGTTCTTTCTTTGGCCTGAAAACTACACACACCTCACCCTACACACCCCTCATCCTGCTGACTTGAACTCTGCTGCTCCTCTTCTAGGAAGCCTTCCATGGACCTCCCCTAGCACAAGGTGAGGTGCCTTTCTGCCCCTCGATACCTTGTGTATTTCCTGCCCGTACACAGCCCTGAGCGCTCCCCATGCTATTACCCAGCTCCGAGTAAGTGCACGCACATACACACTGTCTGACATCTATGAGCTTTCCAATCCATCTTTGTGTCCCCACCACTCAGCACAGGGTCCAGCACCTGACAGATCCTTGGTATGTATTTGACGAGTGGATGGAGAGAGTAGGTTTGTGTAAATAAAGCCACATGCTTCAAGAATGGGGACTCCTTCACATAACCAGTGGTTCTTAATCTTCAATGTGCACCAGAATCACTCAGAAGGGGGCTTGTTATTGTACCGATTATTGAGCCTCACTCTCCAAGTTTCTAACCTGGTGGATCTAGGGTAGAGCATGTCTCCCCAATGCTGCTGGCCCAGGGACCTCACTCCAAACTGCTATAAGAAGCCACCGTCAGAGTCTAAGCCTCTGTTGTAAAACCGAGGAAACATACCTACTAGGAGGGGACTTCAGAAAGTTTGTGGGGAAATGGAATGAAAGCACAAGCTTAGTTTGGTGCATTTTGACGTTCGTGCATAGATTTTTCCATCACATGAATTTCCTGTAATCTCTTTGAAGACCCCCGCAATGTCCCATCTTCTAGTGGCCACCATTCTCTGATTTAGCACGGTTCCAGGAGCCTTCCATGTGCCAGGACGAATGTTTGAGACACCCAGTTACCAAGATATCCCATTGTGAGCACTTGTTGACCATGCTGGGGAAAGGATCTGAGATCCCATGTGTGCCCTGGTGAGCACTAACATAGCCTGGGAGGTCTAGGCCAGCTGCCTGGAGGAGATGACATCTGAACAAGAGCTTTGAGAGAATAGTAGGAATTTGTCACATTTTAATTTGACCAGGGAGAGAGAGAACATGAGAAAGCAAGCTGCCAGGTCTGAGACTCACCATGGTCAGCCATGTGGGAGTCCAGCACACTTAACCACCATGGTACCTGCTGGCCCCCATTTTTATATCTCTCAGATGAGCTTGGAGACAGTAATTTGGTCTCTTCTTCCAGGAACGTTTGCACAGAGCTGTGCATGGTATAATCAATTTGGCTAAAAAAAAATTTTGTGTGTGTGCTAAAATTTGACAGTGATAGGTACCAGCAGTTAGCGTAATGGCTGTGTCCCTGGACTCCCATGTAGTCAACCATGGTTCAAGTCTTGGACCCAGCAGCTTAAACTCACGCCAGGCGCGTGTGCGTGCATGCCCAGGATCCCGAGAGGAGAATGGAGGAGAAGGGATTGCGGCGTGGCCATTCCCCCTGGGGGGTGATTTCTTGCTTTCTGTCTCTCTGTCTCTCTTGTCTTTCTGGTGAGTGCATGCGTCCTATAGCAAAAAACCTCTCCCCCCAAAAGAAAAAATTTGACAATGATAGATATGGCCCTAAATGGGATCTATTCCACATCGCAATGAATGGTCAACATAGGTCACTCTGTTTATATTGGAATAGTAAAGTCTTCTGTTAGTAAGAGAATTACATGATTGGATAAGTACAGGTTGTCTTGATTAGGAACAAGAACTGAGAGATGGAGAATGGTAAAAATAAGTCCAGCAAAGATGGTCTACCAGTTAGGGTTAGGTTTAGCTACGTGATCTAGAAAACAGTAATCAGGGGCCAGCAGGGAGCATGGTGGTTAGGGCACTGCTTCCCACTTGGTCAGCTGTGCAGTATGAGTCCTGGACCTGGCTGCTTGAAAATCTTGCCAGGCACACATGTATGCGTGTCCAAAGGCCTAAGAGGAGAATGGAGGAAAAGTGATTGTGGTGGGACCATCCCCCTGTGGGTGATTTCTTACTTCCCCTGTCTGTCTGTCTGTCTCTGTCTCTCTCTCTCTCTCTCCGTTTCTCACCAGAGAGCATGTGCACCCTATAGCATACTAAAGATAAGATAACTGGGTCATCGGAAAAGTCATGCGCATTTTTCTGTGCAAAAATGCGTCCTGACTTTTCCGATGACCCAGTAGTTTTTCTTTCTCCCACATTTGTCAGGGACCCAGGCTCCTCCCCCTGACGCTCCATTGTCCTTGGTCTGTTGCCTCCTGGTTCAAGGTGGCTACTCAGGCTGCGACCTTAAGGAGATGATGGTAATCACATACAGCACTTGGACTTTTATCTCATTGGCCAGAACTTCGAGGGAGCCTGGGAAATGTAATCTCTTAACCAATCACATTATTGCCTCAGATACTGTCTGGATTCTGTTACCAAGGAGGGAAGTAGATATTGGGAAGGAGACTGCAGCGTCTGCCGCTCATAGTTTCCACTTTGCTCTGGCTAATCCCAACCATCACTAACGTTTTCCTTCAGTACTCAGGATTTGATACTGACTTTTTGGAAAAACCAAAAACAAGTCAACACTTCGCTCTCCAGCTCTGGTGGAGCCACATTTTACCAGACAGATAGCCAGATGCAGAGTCAGCCAGTAAGGTGAAGATTGGTTTTAGTCAGAGTTGCCTTTGCCAGTCTTTATGTTGCTAGAAACTGAGCCCTTGGACTTAAGAGTAGGAGTTAACTTTTTGTGCTTCTATTTTGGTCTGTCTTCCTTTCCTGGAGGCATTAGAGATAAAGGTCTGGTTTAGGGAAGGGAGAATAATACCTCTTTTCTTGGCAGGTGAATAGAGGTGAGTTTTGAGGAAGTCCAGTGCCTTTCCAAAGCACCCGTCTGCTGTCCTGGGGGAGGTGATGCCTAGGGGTTTTGAGCTCAGTCTTTGTAGAGCAGCCCTGACTGGGCTGGCGATGACCCTGGAAAGGTCATCGACTCCTGTCTAATGTTGAGGGTCCCAGTTCATCACCTCTCCTTCCTGCTGGGGACTTCTAAGCTGAAAGTACAGCTGTGAGGAGCAAAGGGAATCACAGTGTCACCACTCCTCAGAGGCTCAGTGACTCCCCAGATTACAGGGCCTGTGTCAGTGGGGTGCCTGTGGCCCAAGTGACCAAAATGTGGTTGGTTCAAGCATTGTAGGAATTTGTATCCCAGGAAGGAAGCTCAGGATACACTTTGGGGAAGGTTAACCCAGCATCTCACCAGCATCATCGAGGCCCAGTTCCTTCAGCCTCCTTCTGCCTCCTCGCTTCCCCTCTCAGGGTTAGTAGCCTCCTCCTCAGTCTGGTAGCCAGAGGGCAGGAGCATTCTGTGGTGTGTTTTGCCCAGCAACACTTACTTAGAGGAAAAAGAGAGGCCGTCTTTTCTCGTTATCTCACTTAAGAGCAAGGAGACTTTTCCCGGAAGCCCCCCAACAGCGACTTCCCCCATTTTCACCAAGTTATACCAAGTCTGCAGTGTCACTGAAAATCTCCACAACTTCGGTCCACAGCGGTTTCTTCCCCACCTGCTCTGCAGTGCTGCTGCCAGTTGGCGGCACTCTCCCGGGGCTGAGCAGCCTGCACAGCCATCGTCTCCTTGTCACTGCCCTGCAGCTCCATCATGAAACCCCGTGCCACAGCCCCATCCAGCCAGTCTCGAGGGATGGGGGGAGTGTGGTCCTGCCTTGTGCTTGGAGGTGCAGAGCCAGGAACATTCTAGGGCAGTCTTAATAACTCTCACATCCCCTCACTTATTAGTCAAAACTGTGTCACGTGCCTGCCTGTGCATCCCCAGGCAGGAGAAGAGTTTCAAACACACTGACTCTGGTCAGAGGTGGGACGTGGGGAGGCGAACCCAGAAATCACTCTGTGGGATAGAAGATGCACTAGGACCGGAGGCCACAGGGAGAACCTTCTGCTACCTCCCCTTCATCCTGCCTGTGGCTGTGTGGAGCCAGTGTCCAGCACAGTCTCTACTTCGGGAATGATGTTATTTTATCCACCATAGCCCCATGAGGTCGAAAATATTACCTGATTTTGCAGATGGAAAAACCTCAGCTCAAATTGATGAGCACTTGCCCTACCGAGGCCACGCAGCTAGCAGTGGATGGGACTGGGATTTGTGCCCAGGGCTACCTTGTTCTGAAACCTGAGCTCACAACCCAAACTTCTCCCCTGCAGTGCTTTCCCCCAGAAGCAAAGGGACACACAGAGTTTTAGCTCACCGGCCAGTTGTCAGAACCCATCATGCGTCACATGCCAGCCCCAAGCTAACCACCAGGCACAATGTTGTCATTCAGTTCTGGGAGGAAGGGCTACCTTGATCATGTTTTGACACCTAGGGAAACTAGGCTCGAGGCTCTGGGCTAGGAATTGCCTTCACCTGGCTGGCAGAAGGTAGCAGTAAGGTTTGAAGTCCAGCCTTCTTAGCTCTGAGCCTCCTGTTCCTACAAATGCTCCCTTACCCAACTCATCTCCATCAGAGAGAAAGGGAGGCTGAGATAGGCCTGGACAGTAGCTGCTGACGATACCTCACTCATTTCACAGCCAAGAAGCAGGACCCCAGAGCAGCCTTCACATAGGGTGGGTGGCCCAAGTGGCCTCTGCTGCCTCCATCCTTGAGGAACCCACCTTGCCCTGCACTCCCTGCCACCAGCAGCTCCCTGGCAGGCTTCCCAGGCAGGACTGTCCTTCCCGGCCCTCAGTTAATAGCACGTTTCCAGGCTTGCTCATCCAGCCTTGCCAGCCACTCTCTCTCCCCGTCCACAGCGCAGTTAAAACCCACCGGCCAGCCAGCCTTGGCTCAGGCGGTTCTGACACGCCAAACTGTCTTCATTCTGTGCTCATCTCCTTTCGTAACCCTACAGGTACGCAGCCACCCCACATCTACTGCTGTCTTTTGATCCCCACTTTGGCCACGATGGGACATCCAGCGGCGACTCCTCCTCAGGCGGCCTGACCAGCCAGGAGAGCACCATGGAACGCCAGAAGCCAGGTAGGGTTTCCCTGGCCCGCTGCAACCCCACCTCACCCACCCACCAGGACCTCTCGTTTTCCAGTTTGACAGGTGACTCCCCTCCTACTCTAGTTGGTGATGGACAAATGACAGAAGAAAACTATAGGGCCACACGCAAGATTAGAGAAGTCCCCCAGGAGAGGAGCGGGATCCCCTGAGCCGGATCCACATCAGCTAGACAGGGCGTCGGCAGATGGTGTCTGCTGCCTCTGACAAGTCGAGAGCAGGACAGATGTGTGGCATGGAGGTGGTGGCCGCCGGGGAAGAGAAGTGACGAGCAGTAGACGTGATGCTCTAAGGGGAGTGGAACCGACTGTTCTGTGGCTTTTCATTAGGTCATCCCTCCTGTGTTGTTTTCCTACTTTATGGGCCTTCGACACATGGTGAGGATAGAGCGCACGTTGTGAGTGTACATTTAGATAGTGTATGAGAAGATGGGCAACCCAGGACAAGAAACAACGTGGCTGGCCTTTCTGGTACTCCCCGGATCTCCCCAGTACCGCAAAGGCCACCCCATCTTGCTTCTCACAGTCAAGCTTTACTTTACCTGGTTTTGAATTTTATAAATAGGCTCACACTGCATGTGTGTGTGTGTGTGTGTGTGTGTGTGTGTGTGTGTGTGTGTGTGTGTGTGTGTGTGTGTGTGGAGAGAGAGAGAATGTGTGTCTTGTTTCTGTTGCTCCTGGGAGCTTGCAAGAGTCAGCCGTGTGGTTGGGTGTAGAACATGTTTTCTGAGCAGTATCCCATTGTCTGAATGAGCAGCAGTTGGTGACTCCCTCCTAGGGAGATAGACACTGGGTCGTTTCCAGTTTGTCGCTGCAGAGCAGTGCTGCTGGAAGCAGTCTTGTCTTCTGATGAATACATTTCCTGCCTTCTTGGAGCTGACCCTCTGGGAGACTGGACAGTCAACAAGGCACAGTGTTGATAAAATAACTAGTAATGCCGAATGCAAAATGGAAACTAACACGTGCTGAGTGAGATAAACTGGGCAGGGGGAAACCTGAGCAAATCGCACTCCAACCAAGACCAAAAGAATATGAGGAAGTCAACTAGGAGGAGAACATTTTGATGAAAGAGAAGAGCTAATCAGAGACCTTGACGTAACAGCGAGGCTGATGTGTTGGAGGAACAGTGAGGAGGCCTTGTGGCTGGAGAAATGGCGAGAGGTGAGGACAGGGAAGTGGCAGAACAGAGTGTGCGGGGTCTTGTGAGCTATGGCAAGACCTTTGTCCCTTAGTCAGAGCAGGACAGGAGCCACAGGGTACACTCCTCTGAGCAGACGGACCAGATCTGACTCAAGTGTTCGCAGGGTTCCTCTGACTTGCAAGGTAGGGTGGGAGCAGGACTAGGTTGGGGACAGAGGAGGGGAAGGGGAGTGGTTCTGGATGTTGTGCTTTTTTGGGTTTTTTTGTTTGTTTTTTGGGGAGAGAGATTTTCGCTATAGGGCATGTGCGCTCGCCAGACAGACAGAGAGAGACATAGAGACAGAAAGCGAGAAATCACCCCCCCAGGGGAGGATGGTCACGCTGCAATCCCTTCTCCTCCATTCTCCTCTCGGGATCTTGGGCACGCACGCACACGCGCCCGGCGTGAGTTTTAAGTCACCGGGTCTGGGACGCGAACCGCGGTCGACTGTGTGGGAATCCAGCGACATAGCCACTATGCTAACTGCTAGTTCCCTGGATACTGTGTTTTGAAGATAAGAGTTGACCAGATTTCCTAACGCCTAGAAGTGGCATGAGAGAGGGTCAAGGCTGTTGCAGTTTGGGCCTGTGTGGCTAAAAGGGTGAAGTGGCCATTGACCAAGCGGGAAAGATAAGGAATCTTGCTCTGGCCACACTCAGTGGTTGATTCCTAGCAAATACCCAAGTGGTGGTGTGGGGAGGCTAAGTCTGAGGTCGGGGTGGGGAAAGGGCCAGGCCTAAGGCCTACACATGGGAGTTGTTCGTTACAGGTGGTGTTTAAGGGTTGGCTTTCTTTAGAAATGTGGTTCCCCAGTGTGGTCTGGCCCACCTCCCAGGGGACCGGCACGTCTGGCTGTGTGGGATGCTCCCAAGAGGAAAACTAACTAGAGGCAGAATAGGCGGACAAAGAGGCCAGTCTCTCAGCTGTCTCTTATCCGTGATTCCCAAGGGAAAAACCACAAGGCAGTGATACTCCCAGCTGAGCCCAGATGCATCCAGGCAGGCCCCTCTCTGCAGTGGCCCTGAGTGCCCTACAGAAACGTGAGCCCCTGAAGCCCTAAGATATGCTGGAGGCAGCAGTGCGTGGTATGAGCTCGGGCTCCCACAGGTCTGCGGCAGGTTCTGAGTTGGTCATATGCTCATCTGTCCCAGCCTCCGTGGACATCCTTATGTCTCTCCCTCCAGGGTGGTTTGGGGGTCCCTTGAGATCACGCCTGCCTAGCCCTCAGCACAGGACAGCCCATCATTCAGAAAATAAGGACTCCTGCTCCTCGGGCGCTTACTCTTAATCATCACCAGTGTTGTTGTTGGGGAGGCCCAGGGAAGGCCCAGCACACTTCACGCTAGTTCTGGGGAGGGTAAGAGAGAATGCATGGAAAGCCCTGAGAGTAATGCCCAACACAGAACACGTGCTTGGTTATATTATCGTTATTATCATTATTTCAAATTCACGCTGATTAAAGTGAGGGCTTTGGACTTAGACCGCCTGCGTTCAGGTCCGCAGTTGGTACACGTGTAATTTTGATAGATAGTAACCAGATGCCCTCCGTTGGCGCTGGTCAGGTTTTTTAAGGTCAGATCGATGCTTGGTGTAGTCATGTCAGGAGCCTTGGGACTTCAGTTCAGTTTACACCCACAGCAGCCATCAGTTTTAAACCTTACTTTGAACCAACAATTCCATTTGTAGAACTCTGTCCCAGACACAGTCCTGCCTCCACTCAGAGCTGTATGGAGTGGGAAGGCCTCTTCAGCATTTTTGTAAGGTCAAATTAAAGGTAACCTAAGGATTATCAG